GATCACTTAAACCAGTTTATGTATAACTTCTGTTCCTAGGCATAGTCACAAAATAAAATAGTTCCCTTAAAAAAGGGAAAAAAACATTAAATGGCGGAGACCACATAGACAAGACACTCTTAACCATGGAAGATGAGACAGAGATGGATATGTTACTGAATGACAATTTAAAATAGAGATAGACTTGGTGAGACTGGTTTATAGCATATTTGTTCATGTGCATTATAAGTGGGTCAGTTCTGTATACTTCCTGGTCAATGTTAGTTGTTGGTGGTGACGTGGGAGGTAGTGAGTCAGTTAAGTTCTGCAAAGAAGTATTCGAAATTCTAGAATCCCACTTAAAATTGTCATAGAGATGCATACCTTTCTCACGGATGATGCACAGCATAGGCAGGTTCCACAAGGGCTTTGAAATTACATCCAGTATTTCCCATCATTAAGAATCTAATTTTTCAAGACAACTTCCCTCATTCAGATTTTCAAATTAGTTCACATTTCTATATAAGTCATTATGAAAATATTTTCTTGGCTTCCTATCTGAAACATCCAAATTTTCTCTGTCCCTTTTCCTACTGACTAAACAGTCAAATTAAGTTAATGCAGTTGTGCTGATGATTTGCAGAAAGGATGGGATATTCAATGTTTGCCCTTTCTAACAGGGCTCCCTCAGCATGCATTGCCCTTTTCCATTCCCAGGGAAATAAATCTCTCTTGTCAAGAAGTTCATAGTAAGGTGGGCTAAGGGGACCACAAGTTCAAAACTTGTCTCTTGATCTATGGAGAGTTAATAAGTCAGAGTAAGAGAGAAGACTTGGAAAAGGGACACCTAGAATGGTGAGTAACTCGAATTTTCCTTATCTTTACAGCCAAAAGAGTTCCATACACACATGCCTTTTACTGGGGAGGAGTATGTTGCCATTTTATATTTGATCAGTTTGCAAGATACTTTTAAAATAATTTTAAAATACTGTTTTCAAAGAATGTAATTTTCTGGAAGCCATTGTGTCCACTGCTCCTGTATTAGTTTGATTGTACACAGATCTCATTCGTGAATTGTTGGTCAGCTAGGGTATTTCTCCAAATAGTGAATGCTCTAACGAACCATCAAGATTTCTATAAGGTACTCATATTCTACACCTCTGCTTCTGCTGTACAGGTGATGCTGAAATTGGCAGCAGCAGTATCAATTCCTTGAAGAATGAAGACTTCACTATGAGAGGTTTATTAGATGACCTTGATGATGATGAAATTTGGGGTGCCTCCCACACATTGACATCATGTGGAAAAGCTATTTCAATCGAAACTGCTAGTCTAAGTGAATATGCTAGATACGTACTCAGAACTATTTGTCAGCAGGTAATTTGTAAAATTATGCTTCTAGCTTTCTTAATAGACCATATTTCTTTTTGGCAAAAATGTGATGGATGTTGTTGATTAAATGCAAAAGAGAGTTTTGAGGATGTACCAGAGTATTTGAAGGAATTTTCTGTTGTGTTCTTTATCTTGGAGCAGAGATGACTTGGAAAGGAAAAAAAAAATGTCAGGTAGGGTCCTATAGATAGAGGATAAATTCAGCCTGTCATCATTGGTGGATCCCTGCACTCTGGTTTCCCCACATAAATTTATCACCCAGCCCTTCTGATACTGAAATAATAGACCTTGCCTTGGAAGTTCCAGTGCTGCTTCACAAATTGTGTGGTTGAAGGTGCTTCTAATAAGTGTGGACATCTTCTGGCAGCATCATAAATTTATTGAGCTGGTTTTAGAGTTTTTAGGAAATTAATCTTAGAAAAACAGTAGATAATGTCATCCTTTTGAGCATTATAAATTAAAGAAAAAGATGAAACTTTATGTGCGTAACTAATTTTCCCTTTATGCCCATTTACATATGGATAATTTTTTGTTTGCCTTGCATTTGTTAAAAAATTAACGTTCTGCTGATGTGGTTGCATTATGAGGCCAACTGTTTGATTGCTTACAGGAATGGGTGGGAGAACACTGCTTAAAAGAACCTGAGAGGTTATGTACAGACAAAGATCTTATACTTGACCCTGTTCTCTCAAACAAGCAAGCACAAAAACTACTGCAACTTATCTGTTATCCTCACGGGATTAAAGAATGCACAGAGGGTGACAATCCTCAAAGGCAACACATCAAGCGCATACTTCAGGTACTACAATGTAAAATAATTCTACTTCTTTCATTCCACTTTTCTCCCCCTCTACTCCCCAAGTGTTGCAGGGGGTAAAGGAAGAAGTAAAATTAAAAAACCCAGTTCAAGCTATAGTGTTTACACGAGAGGACAGAGCATGCCCATCCTGTGCTAATGGGCCCTTTTTGTTCCTTCTGGGCAAGAAGCTTCATGGTGCCTAAAAACTTATTTCCCAGACCTGAAGAAGGGCAGTTTTGTACCCAAAGATTCCTGCCTCACCCCCATCCCATTGTCTTCAGGAATATTTCATGTTCCAAGGACTTATTCCACAGTAATACTGTGATAATCTTCAAATGTTCCTCAAATGTTTGCCTGTCCAGCCTACCCAATTAACAATTCGCATATTTTAAAAGCATTACTGCAAACACTTGACACAACCATTTTTCCTTTTATTGATTTCACCTAGAACTTAGATCAATGGACTCTCAGGCAGTCTTGGTTGGAACTACAGCTGATGATCAAACAGTGCATGAAAGAGCCTGTGAGTATTTGCTTTTTAAAAATATAGTTATATAAATATTTAATTAAATGAAGTATGTACATTTTAACCTAGCTTATGAACAAACATACCATGAATATGCTAGTTTACTTATGTTTTACTGTAGGGTTCTGGGTCTGTGGCTGAAATGAACAGCTTGTTGGATAATATTGCAAAGGCGACAATAGAAGTGTTTCAGCAATCCGCTGATCTAAACAATAACTCTTCTAACTCTGGTATAGGCCTCTTCAATCCAAACTCTGTTGGAAATGCTGACACAAGTAATACAAGACAGAATGGTAAAAAGACATTCTTAAGGTATTTTTCTGTCACCTTTTTAATTACCTTAAGCAATATAATGGTTAATTATGCATAGGATGCATAGGCTTTTTGTGTTTGAACTAGGAACATTAAGGAAAATTAATTTCCTGAAAGTTCCTGCTATACAGTTTTGCATAATAAATATTATTGTTATCCCATAATCATAATTTTTAGCCTATGCCATCTATTGCAGAAGTGTATCAAGTGTATGCCATTAGTGTATCAATTCAGTCTTTAAAATAGCAGATAATGGTGTCAAGCTTAGATGGACTGTTTTCAACTAAATAAGTTTGTTCTGATTTTAGTTCTTCTGAACGTCGAGGAGTATGGTTGGTGGCTCCCCTGATTGCAAAACTACCTACCTCAGTTCAAGGTAGAGTGTTGAAAGCAGCTGGAGAAGAGCTAGAGAAAGGTCAACATTTGGGATCATCCTCAAAAAAGGAAAGAGACAGACAGAAGCAAAAAAGGTAAGAATGTTGAAAGTAGAAATGTGCCAGGGAGACTTTTTTTTTTCTTTTTAGAGTTGTCAGAACTCATTGGTCAGGTCTTCATATTGCAGCTCCCCAGACTAGGTATGGTTCAGAACCTGTTTGTATTGTATTTAAGCAAATTCTGAGAAACAGATGTGCAATTTTACTGTTTTAGCTCATCTTCTGGTAGATGTTCAGTATTCTGCTAATTAAATTTTTTAATAATAACGGGATGTAAAATGGATAAGTATCCAGTGCACAGAATCGGATCTGCCCTCTCTCACCTTGTGCTAGCAGAAAGTCCTTACGTCATTATGAATTACTATGAAAATGTTGCATCGGGCAGTATCCTGGTAAAGTACCCATGTAGGTGTGACTTTAATTAACTTGCCATTTTTGCCTAAGAGTAACTAATAACCTTATTCCAATATCTGAACTGTTCCCTTTTACTTCCTTGCCATTAATGTAGGAATTACATAAAATACTGTAAATAGTAAGGTTCTTTATTTTAAGATAATTAACCTCTCCTCTTATGTAGCTGTTCCAGGAAGAAGTTCCCTGTTCTCAAGCTAGTTCCCATTCCAATTCAGCTATAATTTTTTTTACCTATCTTTAATTGAATAGAGAGAGAAATATGTACTGACATCCTTAGCAGTTGGTGTTGAATAATAGGAATGCATCTCAGCACTTTTCCATTTTCTCCAGCTCTTAGTTTAAGTAATTTGCTAACACTTGCCAATCTTCTCTTTTAGTAAAAAGATTCTACTTTGGCTCATATCAAACCCACTCTTTGATAACAGTCTTTCTTCCCATAAGAGTTCCCTAGTTTGAAAAATATAACCTTCTCCTTTTTCAATAATCATCTTGTCCAAACTCAGGGATTATGAAGTTCCTTCCACATACAGGCAGAACTAGAAGTATTTAAGAAGAAGGTATAACCCAACAGATTTACTTTTTTATTTGGATGTCTGATTAAAAACAAGTTCTACTCATGTTAGCTCAGCAGAATCAATGGCACCATGGAAGAGGAATGAACTCCTTTCAATTTTACCTTGTATGCCATTCACATAATCATCAGAAAAATGCTTATCTGGAGAACCTTTCTTACTAGTGAAGGGAAGGGAGGGCATAAGAAGTTGGGTGGGGTGGGGAAGGGATTACAGCTTGGTTTCAGATTCTGCTTGATAGCAACAGTAGTTCTTACAGCACTAATCTTTTGCCTTGTCAACTGAGAAACTTTCTTAATGGAAGTTTATTAAAAGAATTAGGGGTGCACCGATGGAGATTTTTTGGGCTGATATCAATGGCTGATTTTTAACGAGCTGTATTGGCTGATACCAGTCTGATTCCTGATATGCAGCCGGGCAGGTCTGACTGCTATTGTGGGGGAAGGGGAAGGAAGGAGTGAGTGTGGCAGGGGCTGATTGAGGCCCCCTCAGTGAGGGAGGGAATGGGGCTGGGGTAGGGGTAGGACTGTACAGCTGGGGCAGGGTATGGGACAGAGCCACAAATGGCTTGTTTGGGGGGCATGGGGGTGGCTCCCATGTGCATCCCAGGAGGGTATGGGGGGCATGTGCCCCCAGATCTGCGTGGGGTGAGGGTGCTGCTGTGGGCTGGGGCCGGGGGCAGCACTGGGCCCCAGTGTGGGGGCCAGGCCAGGGCTGCTCTTGGGGTAGGCATTGGCGGCTCTGGGAAGGGGAGCTATGGAGAGGCTATGGTGAATTTTGGAGTGGCTGCAGTTCCCAGTCTCCCCCCCGACCCCCCCCAGCACCACCACTGCCTGCCCTGAGTGCAGCTCAGCGCAGCCTCCTACCGAGAAGAGCTCAGTGCCACCCTTGCCCCAGCCCACAGCAGTAGCCCACCCTTGTGCGGATCCAACAGCACATGCCTCCCATGCCTTCCTGAGGTGTGTGCAGTGGTGTGAGCCACCACTCCTCATGCCCCCCAGATGAGCTGCTTACAGCTCCATCCCATGCCCCACCCCCGGTGTACAGCACCTGCCTCTGCCCCCGTCCCACTCCCTCCCTCACCACAGAGGGCCTCAATCTGCCCCTTCCCCCACATGTCCCTTTTATCGCAACAGACTTACCAGCTGGACCTGGCTGCTCTTCATGCTCTGGGGCTGCACTCCTGGCCACCTGTGTGCTGTGCTGTGGCTGTGTGCATGCACTGGCATTTATCGGCAATATTATTGGCCATATCAGTCAAAAAAAATTGCTGCTGTTTTGAATTTTCCTTATTTTGGTGCCAAGCCAATATGGGACCAGTGTGTCAGTGCATCACTAAAAAGAATAAATAGGGTCTTCATAGTGCTGCTCCTAAAATCACAAATCTGGAAAAACCACAATAACTTTGGTTTTCAGAAGAAGGAATTTTCTGCATTGTGAATTTTACATGGCTTTGGGATTTTGCCAACTCTTAGAATCCCCTAAATTTTAAGATGAAGAGTTAAATGCCAAATTAAAAAAGTCCTGTTGAAATGTATGCTTTTACTAGAGATACTAGATATGTGTGTATTTGTGTCACAGTGCTGAGTGTTGTGCAGAGTTTTCAGTGAGTGCTATGAAGCAAATGCACTATTAATATAATTTCCTGAATAGGCTGTTACCTTACAGCAAAGCCTTGGTTAACATTTATTTTACTCCTTTGCGTGTCAGATATTTGTAAATTTATCTCTCAAAGTTTTATCAATTGACCACATCCTGCACAGAACGTGTCTCGTGTAATGAGTTCTTATTGCAACTTGTCTTTACTAGCCCTCAAAAAAACCCAACAAACCCTTCTTTTAATGTTAACTAATCTTAGAGAAAACAAGACATTTGTAGTTTCAGTCTATATTATATGGGGAGAGCCTGATATTTCGTTTGTCCCACTAGCATGGATTGGAACCCTTGAGTGCCTTGTCTTCATTAGGATTTCAGTTAAAACTGTCATCAATTAAAAAAACACTCCTTTTTTTCCCCTTGCTGCATAAGGTGTATGCATCTTTTAGCAAGGTGCTGCACATTATGAATCCTTCATTGACGAAATGGCTAAACAGTTATGACTGTTCATAACCTGAGACTGTAAGTAAAGACTTCAGGTTTTATTCATGTATGGTTACATTCTCTATTCTGTCCACTTAATGTATATTTCTAGTTCAGGAATTCAAGGAGGCCTGAGAGCAGCAGTATTTCTAGTGGAAATTAGACAAAAGGAAGGAAGGCAGTGGAGACGGGAAGTATCAAAATAACCTCACTAATTCAATCTGCATTTGTCTCTTTCAAAGCATGTCTCTGTTGAGTCAGCAACCTTTCCTTTCTTTGGTACTTACATGCCTTAAGGGACAGGATGAACAACGGGAAGGGCTTCTAACATCACTGCAAAACCAAGTTAATCAGGTAAAACATACATACAACACTGAGGCCTCTTCATGGTTTTTTGTTGCCATCAGTTTCATATGCACCAGGCAGTGTCAAACTGAGGGGATGCTAATGGATCAACATAGCAATTCTTTTCTGAAATCCACCAGAGAAGAATCAGTTTTCATGTGCTACTACAGTACAAATTAATAACAATAATTTTCTTCTATATTCTTGCCCATCCCAGGTACAATCCAGTGCTGTGTTCTCCATCCTTATTTCATTTCCTTCCATTTCCACTGTTGCCACCTGGCCCCTTCTCCTTTTTCTGACTATATTCTGACTTACCCTGAATTCCAACATCCCATCTTTGTTGACATTAGACTGTTTAGTGGAGTGGAACAAAGGAGTGGCAACCACAGTCAAAGAACTGTGTATTTAGCCCTTGGTGAATAATTTGCTATAGTATTTGAAGGAAAGGATTCTTTTAGCAGATGCATTAAAAAACCCTCCTTTATCTTTTTGATAGAACAGCACAAAAGCATGGAAGTGGAAAAAATACTGTATTGATTCCAGTTCTTTGGTAGGATTAAGTAAATTAAATGGGTAAATAAATGATCAAACTCAAACTTGGCAGAGGCATGAAGATGAAAAATGAGACTTCTTTCATGGCTCTTTAAATATAATAATTTATCAAGAAATGATCAGAAATATTTTACTTTTAAAGAGGGAAACATGACTTTTAATCAAACTGTTATTCTTAGATCTTAAGTAACTGGAGGGAAGAACGATATCAGGATGATGTTAAAGCTAGGCAGATGATGCATGAAGCCTTACAGCTGCGTCTTAATTTGGTAAGAAAAATGTGTTTATACATTTTTTTCCCTGCTTTTGTATTACCTAAGCTTGAAAACAGCCATTGTTAAAAATGACTTTGGAGCTGATTGTATGAGGCAAAAGAGAGAGGATATTCAAGAGCCTTCAATGCTTCTTCCGTGTGTTTATCTGAGCAGCTTCCACTGCAAAATCCATATCTAACAGGTTCATCCCTTTCTCTTTTTCTTGTCTTCTTGCCTTTCCTCCTCTCCCTGTAGTATCACTAAAGCTTATTACAAATGTGCCATTTTTTCCTGGAAGTTGAAAGCCATCATCCATACTCACAAATTGCCCAGCATATGTTAATAATAAATCATAGAGGATTTCTCAGAACCAGGCACTCATTACAGCTGAGATTTTCAAAGTTCACTTGTCATTGGCAGCTGTTTGGTTAAATCTGCTACTCAGCTTTGACAATTTCAACCACAGGATTTTTAACGTAAAAGTTTATCCAAAAGCAGGAGTTGGAGCAGCTGTTTTAATTTTAATACAACTTCCAATAAATATTTAGCTCAGAAGAGCAGCTGATTGCTGAAAGCAATACGTAACCCCAAAATGCAGCAGCCCCATAATAAGAGAGCACTTGGATGTGGACAGGTATCATATTTCAGCCGAAGGAAGAGTACTGTTAAACCTTACTATCTACAGGTCTGCTTTCATTGAAACCAGTAGCACACGTGTTATGGATGTTGGCAATGCATGGTTAGTTGGGTACTGGACTTATTGTGCAAACCTACAGATCTCTTCCTGTTTTTAGAAACAAGGAAGTTGCAAGCAGAAGTGACAACAACTGGTGCTAAATATGAATAGTCTGTTTGCAAATGAAAGCATCCAGATTGTCTGGTTGATGCTGCTTGGCAACACACTTGAAAGAAAGAATAAAAATTTCAAAATAAAATGAAGATGGTTTTTTGGAGGATTGGCCTGTAGAAATACTGAAGTATCTTCCTAGGGTAAACAGGGTAAAAATTCTGGATTCTGAGAAGTCTGCAGTGCAGGAAAACAACTGTGGAGTCCAGGATCTTTTAAACATTTAGATTTCATGATTGAATTGTGTCTACATACTGAGTGAAGCAACAAATAAAGACTCATATAAAAAGTTAGCTGGTTTTCCTCCATCATAATTTTGAGAATGTTCATAGATAGCCGATGCGTTAGGATTACTGCTTTTCAAACTAACCTGAATAGTTTTATTTTTTTGCACTTGCTTGTTTCTTTCTGTTTTCTTTTATTTATGCAGCTTGCAATCCTTTTGGGATGGGGGACAATCTTTGTAATGTGCTTGAAACATGGCTTAGGTATCCAGATTGTAGCCATATTGGTTTAGAGGAAAAAGCAATCTGGGCTCATGGTAGAGGTGATATCTTTTATTAAACCAACAAGATTTTTACCAAAAAAAATCTTTAATTACAAGCTTTCCAGCACAAAATCCCTTTATCATGCATTGGAGAAAAGATTGTAAAAGTTCTCATGGGTAGAAATGAAAGTTCACATTTCATAGGATTTCACAGAGGAGTCAATAGATGGAAAATTCCTCTGGGCAGGCAGGTCTTAGCTGTTAAAGACTCTCTCACCTCTCTTGTGAGGTTCTGTGATAATGCAGATTAGCTTAGCATACTGGGGCCTTGGTGTCTGGTTGGAGTTCCTGGCTTTTACTACTATGCTAATCTGCTTGCTAAATTGAGGGAATAATCTGTTTACTTTCCAAGTTAAGCCTAAGGGTTGTGTGTCCAAGATTTGTACCAGTTTTTGTCTTAAGTCTTCAGAAGCTATATATCTGGGGTTTTCTGTTTGTTTGTTTTATGCAACAGAGAAGCAGGTTCTTAGGACTAGGGAGACGTCTGAGTCTGGAGGAGGAGCGAGTACCAGTAATGACGATGATTTAGTGCAGTAGTTTTCACCCTGTGGTCTGTGGACCCAAGGAGTTTGTGAAAGATGGCTATGATCAATCAAAACTATGTGAATACCCACACATACAATTCAGAAGGGTCTGCACCTCCATTTGAAATTTTTTAGGGGGTTGGAAGTGAAAAAAGGTTGAAAACTAGGGCTGTGCAAAACTTTAGTTGCCGATCTGATTTAGTGGAGATTCGGCCCAATTTGGTGGCCAAATCTCTGAATCCAAATCAAATCAGGAGATACTTTAATCTATCCAAATCCATTCGGAGAGATTTAGAAAGATTCAGAGATTCAGACATAGACATTAAATGTTTTTTCTGTATACCTCTAGGTAGCAGGTGGTTCATGAATGCTGTGATACTGGGGCAGATGGAGCAGCCCACAGGAGCATGGGGGCTCCCTAGTGCACTTGGCAGCAGACTTGGAAGTGGACCAGAAGCACTTTCAGTCCACTTACAAGTCTGCTGGGAAGCATGCTGGAGGGACCCCATGCTCCCACAGCTCAGCGACTGGTGCCCCCTGGGTTGGGGGGGCACCCGGTGTCCCCCTGCAGCTGATCGCTGAGCCAGGGGGGCGCTCCCCGGCGGAGCCAGAAGTGAACCGGAAGTACTTCTGGTCCACTTCCGGGTTTGTCGCCGAGCATCTGGGGGCCCCTCCACGCTCCTGTGGGATGTTCCATCCATCCCAGCATCACAGTGTTTATGAGCCGTGCCTGGTTTGAAATGAAATGCACCAATAAAAAAAAACCAAGTAAATGTCAAGGTCATCCACATAGGAATTGTCATAAAACAGGAAAACATACTTTCTCTGTTCAGCTTTGAGAGACCTACACTGTGAGAAGTTCCATCAAGGGCACTTGCTAGATCATTTCTGCTGTTTGCACCATCTAAGCATTGGAAAAGGAGTTGGACAGACCAAAAAAAAATCCCAAAACAGCAATTGTGCCCTAGATTCTGGAGCATTTCTGTTACACTGATGAACAAAAGTTAGAGCCTGTTGCAGCCATGACAATCTAATTTTGAGTAGCTGTCATCAGCTGAATGGATGCTTAGTAATGGCTTGTTTTTCATATTTTCTATCATTGCACAATAGCAACATTAAATATTTTATCTTAAGTTTGAACTTAAAGAAAAGTGACACATCTGCAATGATTTAATTCAATGCGTTAGAAGTCTGAGAGTCTTTTCAAGGACTATGGTGGGTGTTGCTTCAAGTTTTAAACTGGAAACTGTTATTACAACCTGGACAGTATTGAACTTAACAATTACATATTTTTAATGCACTTTTCTATAATTCATTTGCAACATTTAGGTGGGTGGAATGTTTGACACTGTGCAGAGAAATACACAATGGACTACTGACTGGGCCCTTCTGCTTCTTCAGATAATTACTTCAGGAACTGTTGATATGCAAACCAACAAGTATGTCTGTAACACTTATAAATAATTTATTATGTCTGCAATGATTTGAATATATATTTCATATTTATGCTCTTTTTACTAATCAGGACCATAACTTGGTGAAGCACTCTGTTCAAGAAAGCAATTAAGCAAGTATTAAGCTCCCTCCTTAAATATTTTCTGAACAGTCATGTGTTTAAGCTCATACTTAGGTGCTTCCCTAAATCAGAGTCCAAAATAGCTAATAACAATTTACATGATGTCACCATTTAATGTGGCTCAGAGATACGTAGATATGCTCAGAGATACGCCTTCACAGTTAGGGCGGCTAGGAGCTGGAACCAACTTCCAAGGGAAGTGGTGCTGGCCCCTACCCTGGGGGTCTTTAAGAAGAGGCTGGATGCCTACCTGGCTGGACTCATTTGAGTCCCGTTTCTTGTTCTGGGGTTTTGTTGTTCTCCCGCCCTGGCGGGGGGTCGGGCTAGAAGATCTACTAGGTCCCTTCCGACCCTAAATCTATGAAACTATGACTATATACTGATTTTGTCACTCATCTGCAGGTGTATGTTAGGGATTGTTCATGTCTGTTGGATTTGTACATTCTTAAAATGTGCTTGAAAAATCTGGTCCCATAAACATGTTTGAACACATTTATAGTCTTTGCTATAATCTGATTTTTGTGAACTTCTGATACTCATGCGGATGTGATAAATATGTAATTAACTAGAAGTATCACTATTGCTCCTCAAAAAGCAACCTCAAACTTATCTTTTTCCCCTTGTAGTGAATTATTCACAACGGTGCTTGATATGCTTGGTGTTCTGATCAATGGAACCTTAGCTTCTGATCTATCAAATGCATCCCAGGGTGGGTCTGAAGAAAACAAAAGAGCATACATGAATTTAGTGAAAAAGTTGAAAGTAAGTTTGGACCTGTGATTTTTAACTTGTGCTTCTCCTGAATTGCACTGTGGGCCATCTCTTAATTCTTAAATCAAGGTTGTTTTCAGTTTTCTCTGATTAAAAAAAAAAGGGGGGGGAGTCAATAAAGCAGCAGTAGCAATAGTGGGAAGGAGAAGAGAGTTTAAAAGAATGGGAATACGGGCTGGCCAGAGTATAGAGTTTTGCATATTCATTTTTAATTGTTCTGAAATTGGATATTTCAAAAACAAGTTCTGTGTCCCTTTTAGTTATGTTGGAAATTTCTCAGATTAGTATTTCACTTATGTCCTGCTGTTGAAATAAAATTTAAAAAAGCTCAGAAATCATTTTATAACAGCAGAAAGATTGTGCTCTCAAACATTTAATTACATTTGGTATAAGGAAAAGGAAATGATTAATTTAGAGACTTAATCTTGAAACTGTGAAAGCATTGTAACATTTGTACTTCTCTCTTCTTTTAGAAAGAATTAGGAGACAAGCATTCAGAAAGTATTGACAAAGTTCGCCAGCTGCTACCTTTGCCAAAACAGACGTGTGACATTATTACTTGTGAACCAATGGGATCTTTGATTGACACGAAGGGAAACAAAATTGCAGGATTTGACTCCATAGATAAGAAACAGGCAAGAGTAAATGTTTACTCTAAAATATCATTTTTATTATGACTTTCTCTTGCATCTGAAAGTCAAATAAACATTTTATGTAACTTTAGAGCATATGAATACAGAAGTATTATACGTCTGTTAAGCAGTAATTCCAAGGAAGTATATTATATTCCTGGTATTTTATCCATTCTAATGGAATATTCTTTAAATAGCAGAGACAAATAATTTGTCTTTTTCTAAGCTATGACTAAAATTCTAGTTATGGTATAAAGCCGATAGAAGAAATGGGCCCTCTTGGTAGACTGAAGATTGTCAGCTTCATGGAACAGTATTGTTAAAAACTCATTTCAAGGTGCCTGGGGTTTTTTTATATCAAATATGGTTTATAAGCATACAATGTTTACTCTTATTTAGATGAACTGTATGAAAATTTGCATGCAATCAGCAAAAACTATCCATCTTGAAATAACAATTTACTAATTGCAATTTTTTTGAGCAGTTTGGGTAGCTGGTTTTAAATAGTTCGTCTACCAAGAAAAGTGAAATTCTGCTTTTCTTAATTGTTCACTTTATTTGGGTGTTCACTTATATGCACAAAACTGGGCATGCAAAACCCACACAATTTATATTGAATAAAAGGTTGCTATGAACCCCTACGAACTAGAGGTGCAGACAGGAATGACAACTTTTGCCTGATCTAGCCACAGAAATTAGTATATAGTTGTGACCAAACAAGTGTACAGCTGCAGACAGCTTAAAAAATGGCTGATCAATCTGACCCCTCATTGCATGAGGTATCAGATAATAATGGTTCAAAATGAAACGTCTTTTGTAACTTGTATATGCTGAGCTCCCAGCCTGCCACTGTTTTCAGAATAGGAGGGGGAGAAGGGAACAGAAGGAGTTCACTCTGGGTTTTTTTAGGCCCTCCCTCCCCCCTGGGAGGTGGTACAGGTGTACTGGAGCCCCCTGAGGTGGGGGGGCTACAATTCACCAACTCCACCTTTTAGTACCAGCTGGGAAACCCCAAGAATAAGCTTCATCCACTGCCTCCCCAACCTCCCAATCTTTAAACAGCAAGCACTGGCAGAGAGCCTTGGCTGTTGCTGTGGGACCCTGGCTGCAGCTTGGGGTAACCTTGTAACTCTGGACACTTTGCAAATCATTCTGAGTTACAGCTAGGAGCTGCACTTCCGTCTGTACTCTAAAACACAGAGTGTACAATCCCTGGTAATCTATTTAGTGTTGAAATTATATTGTAAAATGAGGCAGTCTTGACTACCACCAGATATGCATATTGAACAGGAGAATAATGAATGACTATTGGGTACCACATTTAATTCTGAGCAAAACTTTCCCTGTGGGGCACAGCTATCCATCCTGTTCAACAGCAGCTGCTAAATATGGCATGTGCCCCCTGCCTGAAGTGCTTAGCTGCTGAGCAAAAGACTAGTTTAAGAGAGTGGACATTTAACAATCACTTAAGATACAGAAACAGGAGGCTAGCATTTTCATTTGCCTAAAGCAAAGCAAGAGCACTTTGGCTCTTGAAAGTGTGAGGAGTTCTGTTCTTGAAAACTAGGTGTATTTGGGCAAAACAAGGAATCTTCCCATTTTTTAATAATGCCAGCTGGATGTGGCATGTCAGGAACACATTTGGGGGATTTAAGTGACTGCAGACACTTTCTAAACTGAACAATATAGACAACCTTCTGTAGATTAATAGTTCTCAGAAAACTATCCAGCTTCATACCAAAAATTTGCATGTTTTTTCAGCTAAATCAGATTTTGCAGTGGAAAAATTTAAATAATAACTTCTTTTCAGGTGTTGTGGTACATTGAAATGAGGATGACATACCAGTAGTGTTGGTATAGATTCAACAATTTCAGCAGTATACTTGGCTTGAGATCCTTAGTGGTTCCTTTGATCTGTCACTTGTTTGCTATAAGATGGAGAAAGAACTGCAAGAAGAGACAGTGATATCTGGATTATACATTGTGGATTCTTTGCACTATGGAGATGTGCATATGTAGGGTTTTTGTTTAATTAAGATCAGGACTTTTTTTTCCAAGGGCAATGCAGCTTTTTACTTTACAATCTTGGTACTGCATTTCCTGCAGTGGAGTTCTGACGTTTATTCAGATTCATTTAAAGTACAGAAATAGTTGGGGAGTGTTTGACTCATGCTTTAATCTGCTGATCAACAGTTTTTTGTTAGACTTTTTTTTTTCTCTGATACTTGTTTTGTTTGCATGTCAGATGGAACATAAGGAATTAATTTTAGAAAATAATCACATTTTCTAAATGTGCTATATAGTATTCCTGGCTATCAGCCTATAACACTATGAAAACATAACATGATTCTTACAAGTGCCAGCCTTGTACACTGATTAAATCTTTACCCAAATAAGTATATGATAATTCTGGTACTGGACAAAATAAATCCTAAAAGAGACTTATACATGATGGTGTACAATGGCAGGTATTTCATGTTGCTTGGTTGTTATCCTGTAACTTTAGGAGTGTTGATATGCTTTTATTTTGAGACAGGGCCTTCAGGTATCAACAAAACAGAAGGTGTCCCCTTGGGATTTATTTGAGGGACATAAAAATCCTGCTCCTCTCTCCTGGGCTTGGTTTGGTACAGTTCGTGTTGACAGGAAAGTAATAAAATATGAAGAGCAGCAGCATCTTCTGCTATACCATATGCATCCAAAACCCAAGCCAAGAAGCTACTACCTCGAGCCATTGCTGCTACCTCCAGAAGAGGAAGAGGAAGAGCCTACTACACCCGTCTCTCAGGAACCAGAAAGAAAATCAGCAGAGCTGTCAGATCAGGGAAAACCTAACACAGATGACGAAAAGAAATCAAAAGGCAGGAAAAGAAAGACTAAATCAAATTCAAGATCTGATGTAAGTGTCTATATGTCTAGGTCTCTCACTTAATGGCTTCTTGCTGCTAAATGCTCTCACGTCTTCTCGAGTTGCTTGGCACCCTGCAGGACTGAGCCCCAAAAAGAATTGAAGGTGAAAGTTTGACGAAAATACAAAGTTACCAAATGAGGCTGCCAAGTGGATGGATGTACCGAAATGTTACTGTAATGGACTAATACTTGAATATTAACAGAAATTTGCTGAAATGTGCTAGACTAGATCAGGATTGTCAGGCATACTCATGCATGCTTACTATCTAGTCTTTTGTTTGCTTTAGAGAAGCATCTCTGTTATATTTTGGATCCACTGTCAAATTTTCCTCAGTTCAAGGTGTATTCGGAATGTGGGTTTTTATTCAGGTCTATCTCTTTCAAATAGAAATTCCACAACTATGTCATAAGTAGGGCTGTGCCAAACAGCAGCAGTCCGTTTTGACCAGTGTTTCGATGGAACAGTGTTCCATTTCAAATTTTGTTTCGATTCAAAACAGCTGTTCTGTTCTGTTCCATCCAAATGGCGAAACTTTTGACATTTTGCCCATTGGATATAATGGGGAAGGTCAAAACAGCCTATAACTTTGTCATTTCTGGCCTGATTTGGATGAAACTTGCAGGAATGAGGGCGTGAAGACAGCCAAGTTCCAAGGAGATAGGTGCAGGGGTTTGAGGGAAACTGTACCGCAAGCTGCGGACAAGCAAAACTCGTGACATGGGTGACGCTGTGTGTTAAGGTGCAGCAGGGTGAAAGTTGCAGGCCTGCTAGCCCTTGCTGAGGCCACAAAGCCTGCCAGCTGTCAAGGAGATAGGTGTAGGGAGAGTCTGGGGCCCTGCACCCCTAGCTGCTGACAGGCAAAACTCGTGACATGGGAGCCAGCGCAACTGCTGCCTCTCATCAGGCAGCAGGACTGAAGATCTCCCATCACTTGCTACCATAGACTTGGGGGTAATAATTGACCACGGTATGAACATGAGCTGACAGTGCAATGCTGTAGCCAGGAGGGCCAACAGTACCCTGACATGCATCAATTGATGCAGCTCCAGCAAAACCAGCCCCCTGCACCAAGCAGGAAAAACAACTGATTGACGCATGCCAGGGTATTGTTGGCCCTGCTGGCTATAACATCACACTGCTGGCTTATGTTCATACTGTGGTCAATTATTACCTCCAGGTCTGTGATGGCAAGTGATGGGGGATCTTTAGTCCTGCTGCCTGATGAGAGGCAGCAGTTGCGTGAGCACCCATGTCATGAGTTTTGCCTCTCAGCAGCTAGGGGTGCAGGGCCCCAGAATCCCCCTGCATCCATCTCCTTAACAGCTGGCAGGCTTTGTGGCCACAGCAGAGCCTAGCAGCCAGGTCTGCAGTGGTTTCCCCCCCCTTCCCCCCCATGCCCCAAGACAGACACAGTTGCATAGGCACCCATGGCACCAGTAGTGCCTATCAGCAGCTGACTTTGGGGTACAGTTTCCCCAGCCCCCCTGCACCTAACTGCATGAATCTTAGCAAGCTTTGTGGCCTCTGCAGGGGCTAGCATGCCTGCAGTTTTGACCTTGCTGTGGCTTAACACGTACACGTGACACAAGTTTTGTTTTCAAGACTTTGGGGTGCAGTTTCTCTAACCCCCCTGCACCTATCTCCTTGGAGTTTGGCTGTCTTTATGCCCTCAGAAGGTGCTACCATTCCTGCAAGTTTCATCCAAATCAGGCCAGAAATGACAAAGGTATAGGCTGTTTCAACCTTCTCCATTATATCTTATGGGCAAAACTTCAAAACAGCATTGAAATGGCAAAACAATTTGACTTGCCTTGTTTTGTTTTGAGACTGTTTCCATGATATCTGTTTCATTTCGATTTTGCTGTTTTGACTTTGAAACGAGTCGAAAAAGCTTTGAAACAAAACTGGGGATGAAATTTCGCACAGCCCTAGTTATAAGAGCTCACTTTTAACTATAGAATAAAATCTGTTTCAGTGAAGTTGACTTTCCTATGGAATTTGTTTCAGATTTTTCCTAGATTTTTGTGGTGTTATTCTTGTAGTTTGATTTGTTTGTTTTTGGGGTGGAGATTAGATTGCTGTGTTAATGATTTTCATAAATAGGAGGGAGTGGTACACAAACATGCATGTTATATAGCTCCTTATGTTGTAAACACAATCTTCTGCTTGTTTTTTCCCTTCTCCGAAAGCTAAAGCTTGTAATGCATTATTGAATAGAAAGCATACAATTTCTAGCACTCTTTCTTCAAGTAATAGCAGTGTTTTTGTCACTGCGTCCTATATACTGTAGAATAATGCCAGCTGTAGGTTAACTAATTTACTGAATGCACATTTAATGGGGATTTATTGTGCCCGTTTTTTCTTTTTTGCTCTTTTCACTGTTTCCTTATACTGTTATATACTAATACTGTAAATTATGCATGCTATATAAAACTAAAAAATGAAATAGGGTGGGACCTCTAACAAAGTTTTTCATTCTTAATTACCTGTAGGTAGTTAGTCACTTAATCTATTTTACACTATAGTAAACTACAATAGGAACTGCCCCAAAGCCTTTAATAATTTAGTAAGAAAATTGTCATTATTTATGAGTAAATAGAGTATGAATATGAGTAACATTCCCTTTTACTGTGTGTTTTAAGGAATATCCACAGAATAACATATACAGAGTGCCTCCCACTTATTCACCAATTTCCTCTCAGATGATGCACCATGCCCAGTCTGCCCTGTGGGGCTATAACATTATGGGACAGCCACAGCAGCCAAGTTTTTTTGTTCAGAACCAGCCCCTTCCACCAGGTAGGTGTGATCTTTGGAAGTAAATGCAGATATGTTACTGCTTGTATAAGAATTTTGTCAGCAATTTTGTCTTATTCTTCCCTTATCTTTTACTTTGGTTCTAAGTGAAATGTGACTGCTGATTCAGTGAGTTCTGCTTCTTTTGTTCGTTTAACGTAAGGCATTATTCTCTCAGCTAAAAATATCCTCAACTTAAAATATAGCTCCTATTAGCAATGGCATATAAAATTCATAGACTGGAGAAAAATATCTTACTGCAAACTTTAATAAAGTGTTAGAAGAAAAATTCTGGCACAGTGGTGACAGATCATTTCCTATAGGTAAGATGGGAACACTAACTTTAAAAAGGAAAAAAAAAGGAAAAAAACCCACCCTATTTTTACCTATTTCCTTTTACCTTTGTTCATGATCAATATTTTAATAGTAGTCCAATCACAATCCTTAATTTGTTATGAATAAATTAGTCCCTACTATAAGGAATAGATAAGTGTTGTGGAATAATGAATTTGCATGCCATGTGGTTTTTTTTTTTTTTTTGTAAGTGGTGGTTTTTTCTCTCAATTTATATTCACATAGCCAGGTTAAGTATTTTACATGCTCTAGGGGGCAGTACAATATTTTTTTTTTTTATATTTTAAGAAATAGTTTTCATATCACTAAGAAACATACAAGAGAAGAATGTTTATATATTTAGTTATAGAAATATACATACAAGTATATTTCTTCTGAATATGGATCTTATTTTAGGGAAAAGTCTTCAGACAATGGCAGGAAACCATAACAAAATAAGGAAACACTGTTAAAAGGAACTACATATGATGTCAGTTTTCTTTCATGCTAGTACACATGAATTTTTGTCTGACAGTACATAGTACATAAAGGCCATTTAGCCCCTAGTGTGCAGGGTATAATGGACTTGTTCAGCTGTATGCTGATATAAAATTGCTGACTTCCTGCTTTTGACCTGATATGTAGAATGCTATATTTTTCAACAGAAAACATACATTGTGTAAGCCATTGCTTTGCTACTGTTAGTGTCAGTTTAATGTTGCTGTATCATGTTATCTTCAAAGCCATTTTACAACCAACCTAATCCTCAGCAAAAGTCCTGTAAAATAGAGGCAGATGGGAGTATTTTAAGGAATTGGACACAGGAACGGAGAATCAGTGTCATAAATGCAGGAATTCAGGACTTGCAGTCCTGGCCCTCAGCTGCATGACTATAGGCACAGCACTGCTTTACAGACCTTAGTCTTTTAGTCTATTGGAGCAACGGTAAGTTGAGTCTTAGAATAGGTGATACTCGTGCATTTTTAGAGAGACTTCTACAGCCCTTTATTAATAAACTGTGTAGCTATATTTTGGTTGGAACTGAGATTGCAGAAGTAATAAAAGAACTGTTAAAAGCAACCAATTTTACAACCTTGTATGTGCAAATTCCTTCTATTCCTCTCCTTTGATTTGCCTCACTTCTTCTACCTCATTTCTGTCTTGTACCTGTCATTGGGTACAATGCTAAATGTAGCGAAGCCTACAGAAGAGGAGGCCAAGCTATCTTAGCTATATACCAAGTCTTCGGTAAAGAACTGATGTACACATACAAATTTAGCAGTTTGGGAAACTGAATATCTCTAATGAGTGCAGGGGAAATGGAGTGCTCAGGTAATAGAAACTTTTTTTTTCATTTTTTACGTAAGTAAGAGAGGACTAAATCCTTCTCTGTCCAAATCCTCTTGATGATTCAAACAGCTGCTTTTCTCTGCCTTCTTTTCATGATGATCATATATTTTATTATTTGAAATGGTTCTGGCTCTTTGCATTTAGAAAATGATCTTAGACTGGCATAGTGTTTGGAGTATTGTTTTATGTATCTTGATTATTAGAAGGCCATGAAAAGAATGCATCTTGTGAAACCAATTCCTTAGTTTGTTCCCTTTTCATTGTAAGCTGAGCAGTAAACAGAGCAGTGGCTCTGGAATAAGCAGCTCAGGTGTGGGACTGCCTTGAAGTGGCTTTTCTCTGTGTTAGTGACTTGGGGTGGCTGATTGCTGCTAAAGTGTTTGCCTAAGACCTAGTGTATGTTTGAGGCTTCTCTTCTCTTCCTCTCCCCCTTCTTCCCATGCGTGATTGCTTTTTTCTACTTCTTCTTTTTTTCTTTTTTTTCTCTCTCCCTTTGTTTCTTTTTTTTCTTCCCCCTTCTGGAGTGATTAAGTGATCTGTCTCTGAGTGGGGCTGGTTTAGGTAATTGAGGGGTAGAGCTAGGATAAGGCAGCCTTATAAAAAGGCAGCCCATGGGAGCAGCAAACAGGTGGTTTGCCCCAGGAGGGAGCCAGGAAACAGGAGATTGAGTGTGGGCAAGGGCCCTGGTGTGGGTGCTTGGTGTGTAGGTTCTTGTGTTGAGTCTTTTTTCCTCCTTTCCTCCCCACCCCTTTATTTTTTTAAATCCTTACAGCACAGGTTTTATTCAGGGAGCAAAGAAGGCACAAACAGAATCTGGATCAGCTGTTGTGACCTGTGTGGGATGTACCATGTTTGTGTTCCTCCCAGACGGTCAGGAACACTTCATCTGCACCAGATGTAAGCTGGTGTCTACAATGGAGGAGTGGATTCACAGATTGGAAGCATTGGGTATTCATCCTGCATTGCTTCCAGGACCGGGAAGATTACTTGGACAAGAATTATGACAGGCTAGTACTGGAGAGGCCAGAGGACAATGAGAAGGGCAGCATGTGGCTACTTGAAGAAGGAGGGCCCCCAGAATTAGAGTAGATTGAAGTCAACAACTTCTTTCAAACATTTTGTGGTGGAACTTCTGAGGAAGAGGCAGAGGAGAGGACATCTGCAGTCATGGGGCAGAAGAGGCAGCAGCCTATGGAAAGGCCCCGAGGACAGGGGCTCCAGGACAGCTGCACCAAGAAGGAAGAGAAAAGTGGTAGTGGTTGATAACTCTCTTCTGTGGAAGGACAGTGACACCAATCTGTTCTCCAGATTGGGGGGCCTGGGTGGCATGCCTGGAGCCCAAATTCAGGATGTCACAGTGTGTCAAAGTTTCTACATCATTTGGACTGCTACCCATTCCTGCTTGCCCATGTAGGCATCAATGATACTACCAGTAATGACACTGACCAGGTTAGAGATGTCTATGAGACTCTTGGCAGGAGGATTAATCTTGGAACACAACTGATGTTCTCATTGATTCTTCCCCTGGAAGGCAGAGACTGTTGTATCCTGGAAGTGAATGTGTAGCTGAAACAGTGGCATTAATGTGAAGGCTTGGCTTCTTCAACCATGGGTGGGGAAGGGCTGCTATCAAGAGATGGGATCCATTTGACAAGAATAGGGAGGAGCCTATTTGGGTGTTATCTGGCCAGCCTAATAAGGGGCCTTTAAACTAGGTTCGATGGGGAATGGTGATCAAAACCCTCCAGCAACAAGGCATGCTGTCCAGAGGGGAAGGGCTTAAAGAAGCAACTGAGCTCTGGGAAAGGGCCAGACAGCTACAGGACTGCAGTAAGTGGCACAAAAGGGAAGAAAGGAGGTCAAAATGCAAAATGGCTGATGCATGTATACAAATATGAGAAATATGGGGAATAAACCAGATGAGTTGGAAGCTGCAGCCTGTGAAAATAACTATCATCTGAATGGCACAACTGAGACCTGGTGGGACAGCTCTTATGACTAGAATGTGAACCCTGAGGATTTCACTCTGTTTTGGAAGGACAGGGTGGGAAAAAGGATGGTTATCTTGCCTTGTATGTTAGAAAGGCATACACTTGTTCCTCGGTTCAGGAGGAAGGTGGCAGCAAAGTGGAATGCATTTGGGTAGAAATGAAAGGTGTGGGGATTTATTATAGGTTACCTAATCAGAAAGAGGAGGTGGATGAGGCATTCTTCAAGCACATGACGAATCTATCCAGAAGCTATGGATACTGGTACTGATGGGAGACTTCCATTTTTCCAAACAACTGCTGGAAGAACAGTGCAGCCAAATATAAAATATTGAGCCAGTTCCTAGCTTGAGTAGAGGACAACTTTGTCTTCCGGAAACTAGAGGATACAACTAAGGGATCATCTATCTTGTATCTTGAACTGACCAACAGGGAAGAACTGGTGGAGGATGTGAAGGCGATGGGTAACTTGAGAGGCAGCAATCATGATCTGATAGAATTCCAGATCCTGAGACAGGCTGGGGGAGGAGATAATGAAAGAGACAGAGAGCTTGGATGGTTGGATGGCAGCTCTATGGAAAAGGACTTGGGAGTCTTGGTAGACCACAAACTCAATACAAATCTGCGATATGCAGCAGCTACACAAAAGGCAAATAAGGTTTTGGACTGCATCAATAGAAGCATTAGGTGTAAGACATAGGAGGTGATAGTACCTCCCTAGTTGGCACTAGTTAGGCCTCATCTGGAGTACTGTGTGCAGTTTTGGGCTCCACATTTCAAAAAGGACACAGAGAAGTTAGATAGGGTCCAGAGGCAGGCAGCAAAGATGATCAAGGGCTTGGTCCTAAGAGGCTGAAGGAGCTAGTTATGTTTAGCTTGTGGAAGAGGCACTGAAGAGGGAATGTGATCGCTATCTTTAAGCACTTGAAGGGCTGCCGTGAAGAAGAGAGAAAAGCACATGGACCAGTAGCTTCAAGTTTTTTTCTGGATATGCACTGTTAGAATAGTGAAGCAGTGGAATAGACTGCCTAGGGAAGTTGTGGACTCGCCATCACTGGAGATGTTCAGAAAGAGGTTGGACAGCAACTGGTTGGGAATGATCTAGGCATAGCAATGCCTATTTTCTACCATGTGCGTTTCCCATGCTTCTGAGCTTAATCCCTTCTGCTATAGGTGTCAGGGTGTTTTTAAACCTTCACAGAGGCATTGGATATTGGCTACAGTCAAGGCTAGGGACTTTAACTGGGGCGTGCCAGTTCTCCTGCTAGGAGCAAAGCTGGAGGTTTAAGGCTAGAGGGTCTTGCTGCTCTGCTCAGGGTCTGACTGAATGCCATGCTAATGGCCAGGAAGGAATTTTACCCCATGGTCAGATTGGTATGGACTGTATGTGTGTGTGTGTGGGGGGTGGTTCTGTTCCTCTATAGTGGGGGGTATGGCCCTCTACCCAGGACCTCTTGACCATATATTGGCAACATTTTATAGAAGCAGGATATTGGCTGCAGTTGTCCCTCTACTTTACCTGTGACAGGTTATGTAGGGTCCATGTTGTGGTCAGGGTTGATGGTAGTCTTGTGTGGAGTTTAGATTATGGTTGTTTGGGATGGGTTGGATAGGGATGATCCTGCCTCAGGTTGGGCCTACTACTCTTATGACTATGACTGTGACCAAGATATCTATGTTGGATGAACTCCAGACATGCTTTCTTAACTGCCATCTCTTAAAAGTTGAAGATTGTTTCATTTCTTTGTGGCCATCTTCATAAGATATCTAACCCTCTAAGATCATTTTGCTTTCAATAAAACAATGGAAAAATGTAAAAAAAAAAGGGTGAACATAAAAGAACCAGGATGCAGAACAGTTTGGGCTGATTCTGCAAAAGCTAATTTAGAGGTACAAGGTGCAGGATAAACTACTTGCATCACTGCATAGAGTAGTCAGCATTTTATGCTTCTAAAGAAAGCATTTACTGAGTGCCACTTTGTCCCTTTCTTCCTGCCCCTTGGTTAGATTGCATGCTTCAGATCTGCTGCCTCATCTTCATCATCTACTCATCTCCATAAACTTATTTTAGTTAAACATTTACTACTGCTGATTTGTATTGTAGTCATGCCTGAAGTTTAAGATAAGTTACTTGTCATCTGTCCCCAGAGCCTTTCATAGTTTCATAGTTTCTAGGGTCGGAAAGGACCTCAGCAGATCATCTAGTCCAACCCCCTGCCACGGCAGGAAGAGCACTGGGGTCAAATGACCCCAGTAAGGTGGTCGTCCAACCTCCTCTTAAAATCCCCCAGGGTGGGAGCCTGCACCACCTCACTTGGAAGCTCGTTCCAGACTCTAGCCGCCCTGACCGTGAAGTAGCGCCTCCTGATGTCCAACTTAAACCTTCCCTCTGCCAGCTTGTGACCATTGTTCCTGGTCACTCCTTGCGGCGCTCGGGGGAACAGGGACTCCCCCAGCGCCTGCTGATCCCCCCTAACCAGTTTATAACAGGCCACAAGATCCCCCCTCAGCCTTCTCTTTTGAAGGCTGAACAGGTTCAGGTCCCGCAACCTTTCCTCATAGGACCTACCCTGCTGTCCCTTGATCATACGAGTGGCCCTCCTCTGGACCCTCTCGATGCTGTCCACATCCCTCTTAAAGTGCGGCGCCCAGAACTGGACGCAGTACTCCAGCTGCGGCCTGACCAGTGCCGCATAGAGGGGGAGGATCACCTCCTTGGACCTGCTCGAGATGCATCTGTGGATGCACGACAAGGTGCAGTTGGCCTTCCTAGCCGCCTCCCCACATTGCCGACTCATGTTCATCTTGGAGTCAATAATGACTCCCAGATCCTTTTCCACCTCCGTGCTGACAAGAGGGGAGTTCCCCAGCCTGTATGTATGGTGCCGATTGTTCCTCCCCAGGTGCATCACCTTACACTTGTCTGTGTTAAACCCCATCCTATTCTCCTCCGCCCATCCTTGTAACCTATCTAGGTCCAACTGTAGCCTGTTGCTCCCCTCTATTGTGCCCACATCCCCCCACATCTTAGTGTCATCAGCAAACTTGAACAGGGTGCTTTGCACCCCCTCATCCAAATCACTGATGAAGATGTTGAACAGGGCGGGCCCAAGGACCGAGCCCTGTGGGACCCCACTTCCCACGTCCTTCCAGGTTGAGAAGGACCCATCCACTACCACCCTCTGGGTGCGACTCTCTAACCAGTTGGCGACCCATTGGACTGTATGGGTGTCTATGCCACAGTCCCCCAGATTCCTAATGAGAATGGGGTGAGAGACAGTGTCAAAAGCCTTCCTGAAGTCTAGGAAAACTATATCCACTGCCACCCCTGCATCCAATGATTTAGTGACCTGGTCGTAAAAGGCCACCAGGTTGGTCTGACAGGACCTGCCGCTGATGAACCCGTGCTATAAAGATATTCTCAGTGTTGCCTTCCTGAAAAGATTATGACAATCTTTTATCAAATGGTCTTTTATCTTTCTCAAGTTAATTGAAGATTGTACTTGCTGCTTTGGGCAAATGCTTCAGTTTTCGTTTTCCCTGTGGCACTGTGTCTAAGCTTCATCAGCTTCTCCTGAGTGGCTCGGAGCCTGATGTTCCTTGCTTGGGCTTTATCTTTCTCCAGCACTAACATCTACTGGGCTCTGTGTCCAAAGGGAAGCCCCTGTTGCTTGCCTGCCACATCTTGTTCTTATGAGTAGATGTGAGGGGCTCCTATTTGACCTGGACTCAGTTGGAGGTGCTTTGTATGGATGTCCCTTGGGGCTTTGCCTCCCCTACACCACATCCATACACCAACCTGATGGTCTCTAGCCATGTGATCAATGGTCTGGGCTCTTACATGTTCTGGTGTGCCACGTCACCACAGTTTGGCCACCTGCGGGCTCCAGCTGGCTTGGTTGGCCTGTGCAGCAGCCTTGTATCCACTGGTGAATAGTCCCCGTTACTCTCCATCGTGCTTGGCCTGCAAAACTCAAACAGTGCGGGAAAATGGTCTCGCCCCCTGAGACCTTTTCCCTTGGCTGGATGGGCCTGCCAAAATACAGTCTTCTACCCTTGGAGTCCCCAAGAGCTCCTGGCCTCTTGGCTCAAGCAAGTGCGTCAAAAGAATACGGCCGCCAGGAGCAATCAACAAAAGAAAAACAGAAGCAGGAAGGCAGTGGTTTTCCTCCCACTCATGCATCTGTAACAGGTGCTTGGATCCTCTCCTTTGGTCCTGGGTGTCGCTTCCCTGGGAGGCAGAATCCCCTCTGGGATATCCCTGGAATGTAGCACGGCCAGGAGTGCCAGTCAGGAGCATGCAGCTGTTGTGCTGTTGCTGCTCCCCATCTCTCAGTCACATGCTGGCTCTTGTAGCTGCTTCCTGATGCTGGCTGCTGACATCATGCCTCCATGCCATCCCAGCCGCACCAAGTGTTTACTAATGAATTGCACACTCCTTGCCTCCTGCTGCTGTGCCCGCACCTGGTAAGTTTTCCTGGGTCATGGCTCTCCGTCATTTCCCTGGGTCTTTGGGCTTTCCCTGCCACCTGTCTGCCCCCAGCACAATTTTAGAGGTTATTTAAACAGATGTTTGAGAAAGTATCCGTCTCCTGTCTCATCTTCACATATTGGGCTCTTGGACATAACCTGGTTTGCAGCAGGTTTTCAAAAGGTTTTCTGATCTTTTTTTAGGCATGTTTGTCTGTTAGCTGGTAGTTTTTAATAGTGATCTGTCCCAAGCCTTTTGCTGTAAAGGGCAGAGTAAAAATTTACACTTTATGTATGCATTTTTTGTTTGTTTTTTTTAAAGGTGGTTCTAGATTGGACCCTGCTGGCTCCTTTGTTCCAACTAATACAAAACAAGCCCTGTCTAACATGCTGCAGAGGCGTTCTGGCACCATGATGCAGCCACCCTCCATACATGCAATTACATCTCAGCAGCAGTTGCTCCAGATGAAACTCCTGCAACAACAGCAGCAGCAGCAACAGCAACAGCGACTACTCAGGCAGCAAACCCAGACAAGAACTTTCCAACAGGTTTGTTCAAACACCAAAACATGGGAAGGAAGCCTTTGGTTTCAGCTTGGATTTATAGTTACTTGCTTTGTAAGCTTATGAGATGAGGACCCAGATGCAGTTACTGTCATCTTAATCTACTGCCATAGTAGCAAGTCCATGTACTGCTCTACCAAGGCCTCTTGTTTTATAAGCATCATTTGTCACTTTACCCTTTTGTCTCCAGATTCCTTCTAGTTTTATTGAAAGTCTCATAAAATCCTAGACCTTGCTTCTGCTACTTAATGTATTTTAACTTCCTTAGGTTAATTTATTTTATAGGTGTTCTGATATTTTGATGTGCCTGGGATAGGTCATGCCCCTTTCCTGGAGACAGAAAATGAGGAGCAGCATAGAAGTGAAAAAATAAGAGGCTAAAACCCTTAGTGACCAACTATGATCTCAGTTGCATGTCATTTACCTTATAAAACATAGAGTTACTTAAACTGTGATAAGTGATAAAGACAGTTTCATGCAGACAGGATGGAAAAGAGGTCATTGTTGAGATCTGATCTTTTTCAAGACTGCTGTAAGTGTAAGAAAAGAAGAAATTAAATATCCTTATAGAATAGTGTATGAAATACTTGCCATCAAATGTATACAAAGAACATTATGCAGGAGTTATTTTGAGCTTCTTTTCATTTTCATTGTTTGTAGATTTATATATGATTTAATATGCAATAAATAGAATATTTTTCTTGGACTCCCTTAAAACTGACTAAAAGTTTGATCAGTAAGCTGTTAAAGCAATTATTCCCTCCACACATACACCATAACCTAAATACGTAACCTAAATACTTAATTTTAGTATGAATGTGTGTGTGTGGTATGTATCCTCAAATCTAAAAGATGTAATCCTAACATTTTCATCTTAGACCACAATATGTCCCTACTGTACATGATAACTAGATATTAAGAATTCTACCAAAAACAAAGCAAATAAATTGCTGCCAAAGAAATTAAGGACTGTACTGAATCCTCAGTCAAAATCAGTCCTGATTTTCCCTCTTTTTTATCGTTAGTCATGAATGCCTTGAACTAGAAAAAACGGTATTTTAAAAATTAGCAAAGAAAAGTGTTACAGATGTAAAAGCCCATCTGAATAGTGGGAAGTGCTGGTACAAATGATATTTCTAGTCATTAAAACATGGCTGAAGATCTTGAGAGAGCTTCCACTGTGTTCTCTAAATAGCAAAATTTGTCTACTAGCCTCATTCCAGAAAAAATACACTAAATAAAGCAGAAAGTTTTTTCTCTTTCACTGTTTCTCATATAGAACTCTTTCAAACACCAGTGGCTATTTAAAATAAATTGCTGTAGAAATGTAATAAGTTGCCATTTAGCTATAACATTGCTTATGCCTTCCTGTAAGACTGGGCCTGAACATGAAACAGAATAGTGAAATTGGTATTGTCAGCATTAACTGTTATTTGGGATAATACAATAGAAATTATAATGTTCTTGGAGCTACGTATAATTAATTGCCCTAAATTGTTTCCAGATTGTGTTAAGGAGGAAACTGAATGCTTTTCACATTTAGTTTGTGACATACAATATACTAATAGATTGAGGAAACAAACTGTAATTAAAAAGAATCAATATAGCAGTGTTCATTACATTTAGGAATTCCAGAATTTCCAGAGGGAGTCATTCATGTAAATGTTACACAGCCATGCACACATACACATCGCTGACATTTAACCTACTAACTTATTTCATAAATGTTAGGTGCAAAATCTCGCTTAAATACTAGCTAGTTCCATTATGAGAGATGAATATCTTGCATTTAATTTTCAAAGAATTGCTGTGTAATATGGGGGCATAATCAGAACTAAGGAACAGCTTTTTGTAAAATTGACTTCTATATTAACTGAAATTTGTGTATACTATTTGAGTGATTTGTCAGACTACTTCTAAACATTGTACCTATAGCAGTGATTTTTTTTAAGTCATTTAAAATATGCTTCCTTGTCATTCTTGGGGGAAAAGAAGCATCATTTTTTTCCATTATCAATTATGGGATTTAGTATTAAGCTTTATTTGGTTTATTGTTCAACTGGGAAATGTATTCTTTTCTAGGAAAAGTCTGTCTTTGTAAAATTGTATGTTTATCTCCTCCAAGTGTTCATGGATGTAATCATTCCTCACCTTAACTCTTGGATGCCTGAACAGCAGTTCATGACAACCATAACCTTAAAAAAAATCATGCAATCAACACTGAAGTTTTAAGAAAGTTGAAAGTGAACTCACTTTTTTCTGTGCATGAAGCACAATTTCATAGCCAGTTCAAGCTGATGGTAAACACATACAATAGCTATTAGTGGGTGAAACTTGATGACGAATGTTGTTCCCTTAAGAAAAAGGTAATTTCATTTGGCTATTCATATTTTTGAGGAGTGAACAGATTCAACAGTAGTGGATTTATTGGAAAACTAGGTCAGTAAGCATTTTCTGAAACAAATAGATCCATCAAATGTCTGTTTCTTAAAATAGAATTATGGTCCTTCTAAGGGAATTTACAGCTCATGTAAAATGTTCTGTGGACAGACCCACAGATTCATGTCTGTGCTTTATTGCCAGAGCAGGTGCAACTCTTCTTTTGACAGAACTTGAAACTCCCCTGAAATATATGTGCATTCAATCTAAATGCTCTCTCTAAGCATTTGTGTGTACTTTTAGTGTTTATATACCAGTAGAAGGTTACTGCTTTGTAGGTGCAAGCATATAACGACCATTTTTTCCCAAGCATCATTGTTTATAAAATCCAATGGAAAGTGTACAATACCATCAGGCAAAAACTTGTCTTTACTTTCTAAATCCTTTCTAACTTACCTCATGCTATGTATCATCTCTGCCTGATGAGGCTAACTCATGCCTTCACTCTGTTAATCATGCTTGCCTTCATTGTTCATTTGTCAGATTTTCCAGTAACTTTGTTTTTGCTGACTTGGCATGAATGGAAATCCTTACAGAACACCTATAAAAATATCTCATTGACCTCCTTCAAATCTTTCCTTCAAACTCTTTCTTCCATGTGACATACAAAAGCGTTGACAATGTTTAAGCAGCTAAGACAGCTGCTTACCATGCTTTTCATCATGATGATAATATCTTATTATTCTCCCTACATCTCTGTTGTTTCCTGCCTTATGTCTAAATGGACAGGAGAGACTTTTTATTTAGAGGCAGCTAATGCAGTATCTCTCTGATCGCTCATATAGAGCTCTTAGGAGCTGCTGCAATGCAAATATTAATTAATCATGACAAAACATAGCACAATTCACAAGTCAAATTATGGTAGTTAGTATGAGTAAATTGTAATGGGCTTGTATAGTAGGCAAGGGTGGGTTTGCAGTTATGTAGAAGTTCTTGCTTGTTGAAATAGCAGGAATGTCTATGCTAATTTCTACCTGAAATCTACTGAAATTTCTAAGGAACTTAGTAATCCTGAGCTGTTTCCAGTTCTTAACCGAGACCTCCAGAGCTACTGCTATCTTCCATAGAAAAACTGGGGCTGTTCCCAGTTATATTTCCTTTTAATTTACAACTCGCTGTAGGTTAAAATAGTATGTCAACAAAGTGAAAGAATCATAAACTGTGATTTGCATCTAACAGTCCTGCTATTTTTTTTGCAACAGTATTATACTAATAACTCATATTCAGCTCAGTTTGCAGTCCATTATAACCTCCCAAAGTATTTCCTGCAGTACTTCACCCTAGCCAATTATTCCCCATGTTGTCTCTTTGATTATTGCTTCCTAAGTGTAAGCATGATAGTGCATGAAACCCCCAGGCCCACACATGCATCTGGGACTGAGAGCTTCATCAGGTGCAGAACTAAATAGGCTTTAAAGTATTTTGTGACTACATAATATATTACAGTCAGAAGTTCTTGAGAGATCTGTGCTGTTCCTCTAAAGTTCCAAATACAGAAGTGGGAGTGAAAACTTTCTAATCAGAAAAAAGAGTCATTTCAGCATTTGCTCCAGGTTTGCTTTCTTTATACATAATTTTGCATCTTCATATGGTCTTAAACTTAGTATAGGAAATAACTTGGAGTGTGGGGAGGAGCTTGAAGTTAGAAATTGCAAATCTTTTCTTTAAGACACTGGCTAAGATTTAAGAATAACCAATGTGTGGTGTTTCCATTTTAATACATAGTGGAGCAAGGGAATGTTAGTGCTGGAAACTAGGTGGTAATGTCACTGGTGACACTAATGCATTAAACAAACATCCAGTGTATGTAATTCTCTAGGATCCCATAGAGTCAGCCAATACTTCGGGGCTACAGGGTCTATAAAATCTTTTCTATTAAAAACTAGTAACCCATAGCGTAAGTTCCCTATTAAGAAACATTATTTTCTCCACCATTTTCTAATGTTGCATGTAGAATAAATAAGCTATTGTGTGTTACAAGGAATCCTATCATAATTTATGTATAACTTAGAATTCCAGGTAATAAATCTTGTTATGAGGTTAAGCTTTATTAGTATCATAAAATACCTACAAGTGGTTTTTTACTGTCTCTAAAGGACAATTTTCAGGGTAAATACAGATAAGCAGTATATAGATTTGTATTTAATTAAGAAACAATGTGTAGTTTGTTTATTCTGTTCAAATTCATATGCTTAAGAATGTATGATTACTGTATAACCAATTGCATAAGACCAGTTGGAAGTTTTTCTCATGATTTGCAGAATGAATTTGAGGTAATGTAATTGACTATTTCAGTTACTACAATGCAGTAAATCCTTGGCTAGTTTTTTGTCTGTTTTTTTGTTTTATAGTTTTTATTTTCTTCAGTATATTCCTAGGTATTATTTAAAAGGAGATATATAAATTAAGACTGAGTCGCATTGTGACCAAAGCTACATCAGTGTAATGAGAGTACAAATTGAATGCACATTGCATTTGCTTTGTGCTTACATTTATGTAATTGTGAGAGAAGAATCTGGTCCTGTAAATTCATTAAAGGCAGTCAC